AAACACCAACTCTTTCGCGAAATTTTTTTTTTTTGAAATTCTGCCACTACCCCACGCCGGAAACGGCCCAAAATTTGCCTAGTTTCTCGTCCGAACGAGAGCTATCTCCTGATACCAGCATCGACCTGGTAGGAGATGGCGCCGACCCAGTCGCTGCCCCCGGCCCCTGCGGGCGCAGCCGACGCGTCTGGCGACACGGCGAGACCCCTTTAGAAACGCGTCCTAGACCTCAACCGCGAGGCGGCGAGCTTGCTGGAGCAGCACAGCTCGGGCACCTCGAAGCGTATGATCGAGTTCATCTAGAAGACCTGGGCGGTGACCGAGGCGCTCTCCCACTACCCCGTGGGGGACGCCTGGAAGGTCCAGATTGACGAGATCCAGCGGGCGATCAATGACATCCGAACGGACACCAACGAGCTCACGGCCAGGACGGAGGACCCCCTGCGGACGTTCGCCAGAGCCGTGCGGGGGGGCCCTTCGCCCTGCCACTATCAGTCGAACCACAACTCCGCGAGCAGCGCCCCGGCGTGTCCGGCCGATCTCGACCGCGACCGCGCCCTCACCGTGAAGGTAGGTGATCCCGCCATGGCCCGGAACCTGCGCCGGCTCACGAACGAGGACCTAGTCAAGCGCGCTGAGGAACACCGCTGGCTGGCGGCTATCACGGCCGTCCGACCGACCCTGACCTCTATCCAGTTCGTCGCGGCGAAAATTCTGTGGTCAGGTGACCTGCGGCTCTTCCTCCGCAACGCCAAGGAAGCGGAGATCGCGCGGACACACCGGGACGCCTGGATTAAGGGATTCGGCACCGCCGCACGGGTCGCCCTCCCCTCGTGGGGGGTGGTCGCCGCCGACATGCCCAGCCAGGCCCTGGGCCCGTTGACCGAGGAAGCGGACCGCAAGCGGATCGCGCAAGAACTCGTGGCCAATAACTGTCACACGTGGGGTGAGTCCTGCGAGATCACGTACGTGGGCTGGCTCGTTCGCCCCTCTCCGGGTAAGAAACGGTCCTGGATCGTCATTGAATTTACCACGCCGTACCACGCGAACCGTGCCATCAAGGCCGGGACCATCTGGGACTTCCAGGTCTCGGAGACCGTCCTGTACGACCGGGCGTCTCGCATTGTACGCTGCAACAACTGCCACCGATACGGCCACATAGGAAACATCTGTCCGAACGAAACCGTCTGTGGCGCGTGCTCCGGCAAGCACTCGACTACTGCTTGCCGCGACCGTGACACCCCCAGGCTTGTGCCGAAATGCGCCAACTGCGGTGGCGATCACATGGCCTGGCACAAGAAGTGAGGTATATATCCAGGAGCAGGAGAAGGCTCGGGGGCGCGCGCTGCACCGGCCGCGCTTCCACCATACACCTGCCTACCTGCAGGACCCGGACGTGGGTAGCGCCACGGGGTCAGCCGCACACCACATAGGCCCCAGCAGCGGGGAGCCAACGGAGACAGAGAGTGAGGACGCTGGGGGGTCGTCCGAGGGTGCCAGAGCCGCCCCGGGGACAGAAGAGGGATCTGGGGATCTGTCGGCGGCTGCCAGAGACGCATCGGACGACTCCGCTATAGAGGGACTGAGGTTCACCGGGAACACCCCTCCGCAGGGCGAACTATCTATTAACACCCTATCGACCTTGACTAGTATACCGACTATACCTCCCACTTTATCAACCACCGGCGTCAGCCAAGATGCGCCATCCTCCGGCACCAAGGGGACTAGACGCAGCGCTAGACTTGTCCAGTAAATTAAGCGTGCCCAGGCACGCAACCCGGAATATATTTTCACCGGGACTCCAACTTAGACCCCCCAATCCAGATCGCTGAGCCCCAGGAAACGCCGCCGTGCAAGGGACTCCTCCGGCCCCGACACCGTCGCTGTAACCCGCGGCCGCACTCGATCTGACGCTACATGGAACACTGCCTTATCCCCTGATCATGTATAAACAGCAGACCCGCAAGCCATATATTTTGGCTCCGTGGGAGACGCCTGTCGTGGTTGTGATTAATAGCTACGAAGCCGTACTACAATACTTTAGGTAGTACTAGGATAGGCGAGAGAGGATTGTAGTCTACATAGATAGGAGCGGCCTGAATGGCCGAATTGGAGCCCGTACCGTCTGCCTCTCGTAGAGCTGGATGCGGAACGGTACGCTGGGGATGGAAGCAGAATCGATGGTCTACGTAGGGGAGCTGATTAGAATCCAGATGGCCCTACACACGCTGCGGAAAGAGAACAGACCAGCCGCGGTCTTTGTAGACAGCCAAGCCGGATCCAGGTAGTCCAAAACCCGCGGAGACCGTCCGGCCAATATATAGTAGACCAGATCTACTATATCGTACGGCGATATAAGATGCAAGACCGGGTCCAGATCCACTGGATTCCGACACACGTCGGAGTGCCAGGGAATGAGGCAGCCGACGAAGCCGCACGAGAAGGCACGCAGCGAACTGGTGAAGCTGTCTGCCTAGCTGCGGCAGCTAAACGACAGATACGACACCGTATCAAAGACAGATGGATATGGGAGTGGAAAACGGAGAGGTCAGGCCGCATAACTTACAGATTAGTAGAGACTCCAGACAAGAAGATACTGGATCTCTACAAGAATCTATCAAAACCGTACGCAGCAATCATTATTCAGATACGTACCCAGAGACATGGATTGCGGCACTTTCTATATAAAATCAACGCGGTAGACTCGGACCAGTGCCACTATGCGCTGGGATCCCAGACGTCGAGGCATATTCTGCTACAATGCCCATTATACGCTGAACTCAGGCGTATAATGCTCAGCAAATTGGACCCGGATGTCCGAGGAAGGATGGATTACAACGGGATCATGTCCCATCCGTAGGCGATTTGCTACGTCGCTGAATTCATGCACCAGACAGGATTGCTTAGCCAATTTCGAGCGGTTGAACAAACCGGTCAGCTAATCTTAGGCAGATAAGCAAGCTGGTCACTACTAAAGACGGACAGATGTGGAGGACGGTGAGTATACAGTCACCCCAGGAAGGACCGGTCAGTCCTTCTATATACACGCCAGCATTCACATACTAGGAGTACTAGGAGGGACCAGGAACAATGGATGGGGAGGTAGAAAAAGACAGCTGCCAGGGGGGTGGCGGGCAGTTTTAGTTGTGTTCAAAAGTTTTTCGATTTTAGACTATCTTCTGTGGGATATATGGCGTTTACGGTTAGATTCTAGGCTCCCGCGCACCTGCATAGCTAGACGTTCAGTAGTTAGGCTCTACCAGGTTAATAGAATCTTAATTGATTGATTGATTGATTGTCCATCACATGATTTATAAAACACATAAATTATAATCTAGCTCTCTAAGACTCGGCTAAAGTTTCGGGGTGACCGGAATCGTTAGAGAGATATTATATAAGAAAAATATGTGTTTCCAATAGCATGACGAGTACAAAGACCCCACCAACCTGGCCCAAGGATTCTGATAAACTGTTCCACGTTTAAGGGTTCCTCGGTATGTCCTTCGTTTCTCTTGGCGAGGTCCCATGTTTCCCTGGGAGGACACAATGATTTATAGGGTTCCACCACGAGGACAACACTGGCCCTTCAGCGGAGAGATAACCCCTGAATGCGAACGTCGGACCTATGTATAAATAGAGAGTTCGGCCATGTTCTCTCGTGTTCACCCAGCAATCTCAGAAAGCGATCTAACACTTCTCTCGCTCCGAAAATGAAAAACACTGCCGATCAATCGCCCAAGGGCGACAAAGAAGCAGGTATAAAACAGTGGCTGGAACTGGCAGGGTTAAGTGAACTTGATGCACGGCAAAAAAACCCTTGACGCTGACAATAAACATTCATTAACTAATACGTTCCAAATATAGGGCCAGAAATTATCTAGCGCCCAGTCCCAGGAGTTCGCTATTCTTCTTTACAACCTGTGCACTTTGAACCAAGTGGTGATTGATGCCGCCCCTCAAATGGCCCATATGCTCCGACAATTAGATTTCAGTCCAGCTGTGGCTGGTTGGATAGAGAGTGGGCCCCGAGGCGAACTTATACCGCAGGACAAAATACCTATGCCTCTACATGCGATCCCCAACAATCAACGTACGCCTTTGTCGACGGCTCAAATGCAGATGCTTAACCGCTTTCTTGATCTATTCGTCGTGGACCGAGTTTCCAGTGGGAATGTTCCCTGTGCGGGGGTGGCGGGTGCGGAGAAACAGAAGATACAAGAGGCACAAGAATAAAGCCCATGCGGTGGAGAGCCGTTTGTATGCGTTGAGAGGACACTGGTTTCTGACCATAGGTATAAGTTCTCCATACAAAATCTATGTAATTAATATAGAAACTGAAAGTGATCAATCATTGCCATGATAGTTTCAAAATGTCCTATGCGCCGTCTGCAAGGAAGGAATAGTTGGTAATGGGAATACTATTATTGAGGGAAATAGATTGCCTGCCATGGAATCTCCATCTCAGCTTACCCAAAGAGAAATCAGTTAGTGGCTTGCCTAGCAGATATGACAGAAAGTCCGCCGCGAACCTCAGTCCTTAAGTTGGATGCACTGTAACCACTGTCGTTATGGTAGTAGTGGGCCGGTCATATTGAGCCTCGGTGAACGAGATGTAAGCATAATCAGTATTAATTATGCTGGAATATTGTGCCTGCTGGTTTCCTGGGTTCAAGGCGAAGTGGCTTGGAGGGAAACAGTTAAACCAATTTTCATACTTATAGCCTAGGAACCACATAGGCTCTGTAGAATTGACGGTGTATAGGATATTAGTGTGAGCTCCACCTCCAAATATTGTACTAGGTTCGCAGATCGCTTCAAGTGTGGTATTGCATAGAAAAAAAGAGCCATTAGTAGAGAAAAATAATATCGAATCACCGACGGAAGCGTTCATCGACGGCGGATGAAAGTCTGTAACCTCATCTGGGGTCACTGTGACTGTCCAGGTACTACCAGCCGTTGGTGAACGGGTTG